TTTCTCGTATCTCCTCTTGCTCCTTAATGGTCATACGATCTTTGGGTGCATAGCTTGCTTCTATCCTCGGAGTTTCCTCAGAATGTCTTTCTTTGGCCGCATCATATTTGTTTGATCATAAAACTTTTGTCCATTTACGATTTCTTTCCAATATGATGAACAGTCTTTCAAGTAACACCTTTTGGTTATGCTATGATCATGCAATGCAAACAAAAGAAATGAGAAAAAATAAAATAGTTAGTACCAACTAATGAAAAAATCTATCTATCAAGGTATAAATCTTAACCTCATGCTTTCTAGTTCCATGCTTTGTTTGGAAAATTTAACCTAACCGCATGATTTTTAGTTCGCAGGCATTTATTCAGAAAAAATAATAAATTAAAAAATTAAAAGCTAAAGCTTATTTCTCCTTTGTGTACACCTAAGGACAGAGGTTTAGATCAGGAGAAGTTCTAAGGTTATTACATGCATGGTTTCAGTTCTAGGAGTAAAGGTACTCGAATTGTCCTTGTTGATGCCCCTTTGGGCTATCAACCCTCAATCCTAATCCATTACAGACTTAAATGGATCGAGTTCAATTCGAGAGGACACATTTCTCTATACCTGACACGGAGAATAAATTCTCACGAAGACATAGAGCATATGAACCCCGAAAGTTACTTGCTAGGTCTGACACGGAGAATAAATTCTCACGAAGACGTCGCTTTCACTCTTACTTAAAAGGGACAAACTCAATTATAGAGCTTTATGTTATGCAATACAAGTGTTGTGTGTGAGGAGAAATGTTCAAACCTCTAACAAATAAATAATAAAATTTAATATTTGAATATAAAGCATTAAATAACATATAAATATTATGAAAATAATAAGTATATATAAAAATTTTGAAAAGAAAGAATTAAAAATTAAATGTATGAATTTTTAATTTTTAATTAATAAAGACAATTTATAATTGATTTCAAAGCATGACTTGGTCCCCAGCGGAGTCGCCAAGCTGTCGTAACCGGTTTTCGTCCGGGCACGAAAATATTAACTTTATGGGAAAAGTAATGTGAATAAATGGTTTTTAAAATAATTTGGGAGTCGCCATCGGCCTTTTGAGTCAGGTAGGTCGAATACCTAAAAATTATCTTTTAAAAGAGTTTTTAGGAAAACATCAGTTAAAAGATAAACTGATCTGCGTTTAACCAAAAATTCATTCTTTTTATTAATAAAAAGGGATTCGTGGTCGGTTACGTTTAGGGAAGGATTAGCACCCCTACAACGCCCAAAATTGGTACTTTATTAACTATAAATTGTCTCTATTATTAGAAGAAAAAATTTCGAATATATTTAATTCATAATCTTTTTATTTCAAATTTATAATTTTAAGAAAATATATTAATATATAAATAAGATATTTTTTTATTTAGAAATATCAGAAAAGGGCTTCTAGGTACCTTAAGACAGCTCTTTCCTTCTATATCAATAAATAAAAACGTAATAAAACTAAATTATAATTTTTATAATAATTAGTTTTAAAATACCAAAATAGGACATCCAGTTGTATTAAGACTGCCCTTTTCTTTAATATGAAAAATAAATAAACATTATTAAATAAATAATATATATATTTATAATATAGTAAAACAATAATTAAAGTAATGATTTAAAATATATTAAAATAATAAAAATTAAGTAAAAAAATAATAACTAAACAATGACTATAAATAAATAAAATAATAATAAATGTAAAATTATTTAAAATAATGAACATAACTTGAATCATCATAAAATAAAATTACTAATAGTGTAATTAATCCTTAATTAATTAATCATTGATTAAAATAAAATTTATCAAAGTTTAAAGGCTCTATCTCGAATAAATAAAAACTTTAAGTGCTAAAAATGTAATTTAGCCTTATTTAATTAATCGGATTAAAATAAATGTTAATAAAATTATAAGGTACTAAATCAGTTATTTACCCTAAATATATATATAAATTGATAATGACTAAAATGTAATAAAATAAAATTGAATGACATAATTAAAAGAATCAAAATTTGCTTCCAGTGACTAATTTGTAATGTTATAAACTCGGAGTGACTGCGGAAAGGGTTTACCCATGATGGAAATTACACAGATACCCTCCCCAGAACGACGTCGTTTGGGGAGGGTTTTAAAAACCCTAAACGCCTGGCCCGAAGGGCCAAGCTTCTCATTTGCCTATTTCCATTCTCTCTCAAAACGAGAGAACCAGAGTTCTCTCTGGTTTCTCTCTAGTTTCCCTCGCCGGAGGGAAACCGGCAGCCATAGGCCACCGTACTCCGCCGCCGACCACCGCCGCCGGCCACCGTAACGGTGGTCGGAATTCACCAAAAACACCCCCAAAGCGTAGATCTAAACGCCCTAAGACCGATTCCAGTCTTTGTTTTCCCTAAAAGACTCCTAATCGGAGTAAATCTACGAAAATACCTTCGGTATTTTCTGTTCTCCGGCGATGTTTAGTGCTTCCGACGGTGGTCAAGGCTCCAAGGGTAAGTTTCTTTCTTCTTTCTTTGCTTTCTGTTTTGGTTTTATGTTGGTTGTGGGTTCGTTGGTAGCTTTTTGTCTTCCCTTTTTTTTTTCTCTTTGCTGGATCTCTCGTTTCTCTCGTGTTCTTCGTTGCTCTCTGTCCTTGCTCTCCTCCTTTCTTTTGCAGGTTCAGTGGTGGCTTTTATAGCCACCACAATGTACTCCTCGGACCGGTCCGATCTAGCATCTTTGGTGAGTCACCAAGCTATGGCGGTGACTCACCATAGAGCACTGATTTGGTGAGGCAGCTGGCTTCTGGAAAGCTCGACGAGGTCGGCGTCGTGGAAGCAGCAGCGTCGGCAGCAACTGGTTGGACCATCTGGCATCAGAGAGTCGGTCGTCGGGGTGGCTTCAAGGGTGGCGCCGCATCTGGAAACGGCTGGCTGCTAGGGTTAGAAACCCTAGGGTTTTTCATCTGGAACCCTTTTGGGCCGTTGGATCTTACCAGATCCAACGGCTGATGATGTTGACGGCGGCTGGGGGCTAGGGTTTGAAAACCCTAGCTGAAACCCCAAATTGATTCAGGGTTTCCATTTGGGTTTGGGATTTGAATGTAATTGGGCTGTGATTTGGGCTTTGTAATATTTAAATAATAAATAATATTACTATTAATAATAATAATAATAATAATAATAATAATAATTTTAATAATAATAATTTAAAATGAAAAAATTGATTTCTACACCAGTGTGCATGAGTCAGCAAAGCTTTTAGGTGCGTTTCGTTCACGGAATGTAAGATTATCAGTGAAAATGTAAGATTACCGTGTTTGGTTAAAATAATAAAAGATTATTTGAATGTATATTTGATCAAATTATCCTTATTATATATTTATTTTTTTAACAAGTTGGAAAATATTTATATATTTTCTTTAAAAATTTTAAATTCATAAAATTTATATATTTTTTTTACAAAATTGAAAATATAAAAATGTTAATGAAAGGGTAAAATTTTATTTTAACCCTTGAACTTCATATGAAATTTTAATTATAGATTTTTTTTGTAAATCTAAAATAGTTTAAGGATAAATTTGTAATTTAACCTTCGTAGAATTTTTATTATTCAATGACAGAATAATGATATTTTTGAGAAATGTTTTTAAGGACATTTTAGCGGTAATCCAACAATACCTAAGGAAAGAGAGGTAATGACATTCCCGGTAATATACCCCAAAAAAATCTACTATTGGTAATCTTACATTACCGGAAATGAGATTCCCGGGCTAACTAAAAGGGGGATGTAGATTCTATTCCCATGAGAATCCCACATTCCCCCATCCAAATGTCCCCTTAGAGTTATAGCTCTGTTTTGAAAACCGGATCGGACCGGTCGGTTCAACCGGTTCAATCTAAACCGGTTGTATCGCTATTACTGAACCGGCCAGAACCGCTGAACCGTTCGAACCGGACCGACTGAAAACCGGGAAAAATCAGGAATTTTGTTTTTTTTTTTAAAAATTAAACCAAACAACGTCGTTTGTTAAACGAGCCAAGTCGAACTCGAGTATTGCTGAGCTCGACTCGAACTTGAAAACTTTAAAAAGTAAGCTCAACTCAACTCAAACTCACAAGCTAAAAATTATCAAGTTCAACTCAAACTCGAAATATAATATTGAAACTTGAACTCAAAAAGGCTTGAACTCAAAAAAAATTTAGAAGCTCGATTGAAGCCTAAAATTCGAGCTTGATTGAAGTGAAAGAATAGTTCACTCAATGCTCACTAAAAGACTCCATGATTTTGAATGTCAAATTACCTCTATTATTTATAGAAGTTAGTTGTGATGCACTTCTATGTTTCTTAGCAATGTGAGATTGTTTTGTTCTCATATTTTTACTCTTTAGACTTTTGAGATGGTCTTCTATGTTTCTTAGCCATGTGGTATTGTTTTTTTAAAAAAAAATTAAACCAAACAATATCATTTTGTTATGATTTTTTTAACCCAATTTTTTTTAATTATAGTTATATAATTATATTTATTATTTAATATGTTTTACCTTAAATATTATGTTATAGTTAATTAGAATCATTTTGTTTCACTTGATTTTATAGTTTTTAACTTATATATGTTATGATTTGCTTTGAATATGACTTGTGATATAAAAAATTATTTTTTATTAAATATTTTTTGTATTTTTATTTAATTTTTTAAATAATTATGACGTTGTTCGGTTCTTCCGACCAGTTGGACCGGTTGAACCAGTAAACCGGTAGCATGACCGGTTCGCTAACCGGTCCGGTTCTAAAAACCATGAGTTATAGAGTAAGCTGTTGGGGTTGTTATCCAGGGTTGTTGATTAGTAGCCGTGTAACAGTCTGTTTTAGCTCTTGAGTCTCTCCTATATAGTTGGAGAGCTATGTTTGCATGATCAGAAGAAAGCATTTTATTAATTCCAGTTTCTATTCTTGATTCCTTTCTAAATCCAATACATGCTATGCAATATTCAACTATCACCATACATACATACATACATACATACATACATATCTAGAAATTGAGTTCTGGTTTGCACTTGTCTCCATGAAAGCCTCCGCCGGTGGGGGAGAGTCTAAAAGTGGTGGAGCAATTGAATTTCACTAAAACGTTTCTTTTGATAATGTTCATAATATTAATCCGGCCCGAGATTCTGGTGTAACTGCTTATGTTCACTCCCTTTGAACCGATGATATCGGTCACAAAGTCCGGATCAGTCAGGAAATTCTCGGGGTCTATTTCCACCGTCACGTTCCTCCGCAACGTACGTCTGGGCTTAGCCTTACCTTTGAAACGAGTGCCCTCGCCTACCACCCTGCCACGGTAGTAAACCATCATCGTTCCGTTATCGAATTTGAAGGTCACCGCATTGGGATTCTTCACCGAAACATCAGCTAAAAGTGTTAGGTTCACGTCGGCACTTAGAATTCCCTTTGTTGAAACCTCCAGGCTCTGGATTGTTACAGAATTCAGGCTGATCATGGGATCCTGTACACGGAAAACAAGGAATGACAGGATTATAACAATGATGGCTAGGCTTAGAAAAAACGCGGCGATGCTGCCGAAGCACAGGATAAATGTTCTCTTTTTCGACGGAGGGTCCGTAGAGAAGGCTTCTTCATTGTCGCTGCAGCGAGCTCCGAAGGCGATCGGGGCAAAGGGCGTTACCTCCTCTGGCTCACCCATTGCCATTTCCATTGCCATTGTCTAAGTTATGGTGTGTGTGACTTTGGTGCTTGGCGATATATACAGCATCGGCGAGGGAATTAGGCATGAATGAGAATCGTATTGAATTGTGTTGTTGTTGTGTGGTATCGTAGATTTAGGGTTCAACTTGAAACGCGTTGGGAGGCTTCCCAGTTCCTACGTCTCCATTTTAGATTAGTGTAGTCTACTCTGCCTTTGACCTGTTGGATAAGAAATTCTAACGTTAATGAACACATGCACATCACATGCTATGAGATCATTCAATTTAAGAAGTTTCCATGGCTAAAACTTTAGGAAATTTTCCCTTTTAATTTATTTTCCTAATTATGTTGTCTTCTTAGATTAATATTATATAGAATATATTGCGAAATTCTTTAAATAATGTTATGAGAAAAGAATTAGTTCATTTCAGACGGTGAAGTATTTTTTTTTGAAATGGGATGTTTGTTACAGTATTTTGGAAGATGTCTAGAAGACGTGATGTTTTCCACAAGTTACATGCGGTCAAAGCACCAAATCTAGCAGGGATTACCTCTTTGTAGTTACTAGTGCTCGAACTCGAAACCTCTAAAAATAACTTCAATTCCTTTAACCAATGAGGTGGTTTGATTCGTACAAAATTTTCATTCCCGTACGGAGGGCTAAAATATTGTCGACGGAGGGAAAATGACATTGTAAGAAGGTTAAGTGATTTTATTAATCCTTAAAGTATATAAAAATTAAGAATTTTGTCTCTGTACTTCAATTTTGAAATTTCGAGTTATTTGAAAAACCGAAAATTTGACTAAGCATTTTGATAGTTTTACGATTCAATCTCCGATTTTATTATTCCTTCAATTCATCTTTTATTTTAAGTCTGTGTATTACCAAATTTGAATCGCATACTTCTAAACATCGTAGAATACATATGTACTTCCAATTTCTCTTTTTGATAACAAATTTTCTATTTTTCAATGTAGTCCCTTACTTTTTTCATAATTTTCTTATTTCTTCCATTCATCATTTATTTTAAGTCCTTTTTTTATCAAATTTGAACCACATGCTTATATACCACAATAAAATACCTATGTAACTTCAATTCTTACTTTTTACTAAAAATATACTCTCTTTTTATTCAGCCCCTTAACTTTACATTTTACTCAGTTTAGTCTTTTAACTACAATTGTTTGCAAATTCTTTCTCCCAATCAATTCAATAACTCCTTATACTCCCATCAATATTTTACCCTTAAAATACTTTCTTTAAAATATAATATTATGAATATATATCATAATTTTAGATTTTATTTGATATATTAATTAACATTTTAAAATGAAAAGCATATAAAATATTTATATCCTATATAGTTAGAGAAAATCAAAAAATTAGAACAAATCCTAGCCATAACACTATAAATAGTTATAATAAAATTAGTATAGAAACTCGATAATTCGACTCGAATAACTCGACTAAGCTCAAAACTTTTTTTAATTTAGTTCGAGTTATAAAATACGACTCATCAACTTAATTTTTTTTAACTCGATCGACTACTCAACCCTATCATGAGGCACTCTATAGATTAATGGCGAGAGCATTGCGAATGGAGGATACAAGTCTTCTCAATATTAATATAAAAGGTAATGTGGCAACGTTAGGTTACTCGTTTCAGTCAACAGCGACGGGGGCTTGCCTATGCCCCATTAACTGTCTTCTCACGCCATTGAACTTCGTTTCCATTCAGCAAGTTGACCGACTCTGACCCATACATGAAGCCGCCATTCATATCACAAACAGTAATATTGTTGATTTGGAAGAAGACAAAAACCGTACATAATTATTCGGTGGAGGAGAACAAGAGAATAAACGTGTCGAAAAAATGATGAATATCGAGAAAGAACAACAGCATGAGCAAAGGGATAGTAATTTAAGCGAACAAGCTTCGCAAAAATTGTTCTTCCATCTACTAATCGCAATTTAAATCATGTACGGACCCCCCCCTGTAAAATTGAGTTTCGTGAAGCAATTCAACTCAGGGTGCCTTCTTCTCCTCATAATGTTCATGATATTCAATTTTCCACTCAAATTAACATGGTTGCTCAGCTCTAAAATCCCAGAACTTATATTGCTGCTTAAGGTGAAAGGTCGTTGTATTTGGTACCCGCAGCGAGCTCACTTCAACCGAAACATTCAATCTCTCTGTTGCCCTAGGTCGAGCTCTCCCGGTAGGTATTTTAAACTCTCCGACGACTACTAAACCGCACCAGACAGTCCCCTTCGTGTTGTCAAACCGAAAGTCTCCGAAATTAGTATTCTCGAAGGCGACCGTCGTTACGAGCGTAAAATTGAACGACGGAGACGATAAATTAGTCCTATAAATAAGGTTCCGAACCCAGACTGGTCCCAACTCAAAACCAGGAGTTCTGGGGCGTAAAAAGATACTACAAAAATCAAGAGAACGGCTCCTTGGACGACCGTGATTGCCAGAACGTAAACCAGACATTTACTGCTTTTTTCTTCTCGGCGTGAAGCTTTGGGTTTAAACCCACCCGACTCCATGTCGCTTCTCGGATAATCTTGAACGGGTGCCAGCGGCTTCATCTGAGGATCTTGTTGCATATTGTTTTCTAGAAGGAAAAACAATAAGGCTTGAGAATTTTGAGATCGTTAAAAAGTTATTCGAGAATCGAAGGTTTAGCCCTGGGTTTTTGCTCCTTAAGTTTTCGTGTGTGTAATGAACACGATGACACATATATATATATATATATATATATATATGTTTTGCTCCGTTCCTTAAGTTCAGGTTTGCCACAACATAAATGATTCGTCGGTTTATGATGTTAATTATAATTATATATTAATTTTTTGAAAGGTTAATTTTATCATTAGTTTATGTATTATATAAGTTGTATATTTAATTTTTATATTTTTAAAATTTTAATCTTGACTAAACGATATAAAGATGGTATGACTAAATTATAGGGACTTTAAATGATAAAATTGAAGAGAATAAACTAGATTTACAACTCACGTATATAATATATGAATTAATAGCATAATTTGACTCAATAATTCAATGATCACTATCTGAATCAAGACTAAAATTTTAAAATTTGAGACTGAATCCATAATTTACACATGATAGAGGGACTAATAAAAGAATTTGACAAAGAAATGCATTTATGTAATTTTGTTTAGGGGTTCAAAACTTCGGTCAACCGATAAAACCGACTGAACTAAAAAAATTTCAGTTAATCGGTCCGTTAATTATAAGTTCTGTTAGTTGACGGTTAATGATATTTTCAAAGTTTGATTATCGGTTAATTCGGGTTAAAATCAGCTAATTAATCAAATTAACCGAAAATTTTAAATGTTTAATATATTATTTGTATATTAATAGTTTTAGAAGTGTTTAAATTTCGGAATTAATTGAATTAATCGATCAAATTAAATGAATTAACTGACCGAATTAACCTAATTAGACAAAAATATTAAATATATAATATATATTATTTAAAATTTCAATTAACTGAATTTTATTCGGTTCGATTAATTATTTTCAAAAAAAATTCAGTTCGATTAACCGTTAAAGCAAATAAAAAACCGATTAATAAAAATTTAAAAGTTCGGTTCGATCGCTTAACCGAACCGATATACTTAACACCCCTAATTTTGCTAATGAGTTTGTGTTGCATGACAGTGTATCTCTTAATTGGAAAAAAAAAGTCGACTATCTCTTTTAATTCAATTGTTTTATGATAATTTATTAATATATTTAGGACTGTTTACAAATCGATCTTTAAGATTGATACTCTCGACCTCCATGCTTACGTCAGTATTAAGTTTAGTTTTAAATAAAGATAAATATTATCGATAGCTGTTAGATTTTTTTTGGCAGATAAAGTATGTATTTATGTGAAGGTTTTGACTTTTTTTTTCCTTCACATTCTTTTAGTTTTTATGTTGGAGTTGTATTTATATTTGTGGCACTTTTTCTTTTTATTTAATAAAAATTAATTTTTTATAAAAGAATTGTAAATTTATAAATATGGAAAGATGGAAAGTGTTTAAATTACACCTCATTAGAATTTTAATAAAAGAAAATATCAAATATTATGAGGAATAATTTAGTACCACCGTTTTTTTTTAAATTTAATCATTGATATTTGATTTATTGATCAATTATTTCAGAATACGTGTAAAGATCTATTATGAGAATGATCCATATAATCTAATTTACTCTATTAGAGATCATCGTAATTCGAACTCGTGATCTTTAACTACTACACCTTCCCTTTAAATACATGTAAGATTCCGAAGTTAATCTTCATATTTTTTTAAAACATTTTTACCCTTCGTTTTATAGTTTTGGTCAATTTCATCCCATATTTCATGATACGTTTCATGCGAAGGTATATATCATATATAGATTTTTTCCGAAACTATTATTATATAATTTTTTTGACTTAATACAATAGTAAAAATTGACGATGATCTATTGTTTATTTAAATTTAAAGTATATTACAAATATAAGCATCTAAAACAAATTTCAATAAAAATAAATAATTATCGAATTAAATTCAAATTATTTAATTATCAAGATAATAGTATTCATAAAATCTTTCCGAAACTTCCGCATTATTGATTTGCATGTTAATATTATTACTTGGGTGTGATACTAGAAGGATTCTTTTAATAATTTTCCCCTTATTTACTCAATCCTTGTAGTATCTTTACATGAAAATTGGGAAATACAGAAAAAAGAAGAAGAAAAAATAAAGAAAAAACCAATACCAGTAACTCATCCAATCCCACCGATAATTCAAGTCGGGCTAGCCCTGCCCAGTGCCCAGCCTCTCAAGTCTAAAGTCAAATCAAAATCAATTGAGTCGCTTTTTGAGGGCATTCAACGATGAAATGTATTTGCCTTTTTCTAGCCCAAGGCTGTACAGTGACTAATTGTTGTTGCCAAAATTCTTACTTGTGTAGGTAAATAAAGGAGTTAGGGCTAAGGGTGCTG